ATTGCAAATCATGCAAGTTCAACATTTTCAAACCAATATACTAAAACAGAAATGCTCAGAGATGCAAATGAAGGATAGATATTACTTTTCACTATACACATCTCTGTTGATACTATCCCTCACATATTCTACTCCCAATTACTCCTGCGTAAAATGGACTAGCCTCTTCATGTTGACATTCAGACTAAAATCACGTGACAGGCTGTTAAAATTGGCTGTTGTATACTCTTTCGCCGGTATGGAAAATGTGTTTAATTAACTCACATTCAAGCAACAATGCAGATTTCCCAGTGGGAGTGAGACTATTCGACTATGTCACTAAAAAAATACGGGTGTTTTCAGCAAAAAACGAATAACCCTGGAATACACACAATATACTGAATATCGGAACAAATCGTGCATTACTTACAGCAGCAGAATACCACAGAAATATCAGACGAAACATGAAAACACTATATATTGTATTTCAGCTTGAACCCTCTATATTGCAATTCAAGGAATTAACCCCATATGTGCATCCATTTCCCACCTTGGTATCACCCACCCCTGAAAACAAACTCTTAATACCACGCTGAAGCGTTTGGTAATGATAAGATCCTCTGGCTTTTATCAAGATCTTTTGTTATATGAACACCCAAGGCATTTACATGGGTCATGTGACTGTTTTGACTTTGACATAAAGAACCATAGTTGGGTTTGAACTATGTCCTTTGGGTTGCAATTAGTCGTAAATATTCAAAGTTAATCATTATGTAAACATTGTGTATAATGTACATCTGGTACATTTTTAATATGCAAATGTATAACAATAGCAGCACATTTCAAAATTTGCATATTACGTAACAATAACACATCTAGAGCTTATAGATGTACCCTAATATACATACATATTATAGATTATGGCGGCAGGTCTTAAGTCGGATAAAACTCTTGTAAACCCCACTCCCCATCTTGGCTTGCACTTGATGTCCTTGAGGGGTGTCATATGAGAGTCAAACTAAAGACACTATACTCACAATGCTAGAATGGCTCATGCTATCAAAATAAGATTTAGTTTCATTTTTTTTAATCCAGTGGTTATTGAAAAAAATCCTCAAACCAGGTAATTTCCAGCTTGTCATTTTATTTTTCGACAGGCAAAGATTCCAATTACAGATCAACATTGTAACACTAGTTTGGTGGTCTAGGCAGAATGTATTAAGTACTTAATTGTATACTGCCAATTGAGTTGTCAAATAAGGAAATTAAACACACAAAATTTCTGATGCGAACATGCTAACCACTATTTTGCACAGTTATTTTGTATACTTATACAAATGACCACAATTATGTCATTATTGAGATGACCTCTAATGTCAAAACTAATTTCTCAAGTACACTGACCAAAAAGACACACACTAGAAATAAATGAAAGAATACCATATAAAGATAAAGTATTTAATTCTGTACAAAATCATTATTTTTACACATTTTACTGCAATGTGAGCCAGGTTTGGACGGATACCCATGATTTACAGCTTACTCAAAAAAAAAAAATAGAATTACTTATTTCAATAATCCACCACTTTTAGTTTCCCCACATTAAAATAATTCCTATCGTCTTGGAAGATGACACTTGATACTCAGATGGATGAAGGGTGTAACTTGTGTCTTGTCAAGAGACTAAAGTATAACACAACACTAATGTTATAGAACAGTAGGTCATATAATAACAGAATGACAAGCAATTTACACAGGGTTTTGAGGCCACTATGTGCGAGTCAGCTTGTAACATGAATGCAGTTAGTTATGTGGCAGCACCATTTTTGTTGACGATATATCAATTTCACTATTGATCTCACCTCTGATATTGTAATTTTTTAGTATCAGTGGTGATTTCAATGTAACTTTGGCTACAAACTGAACAACAGAATAAAATACCAATTTAAAGTGAAATCGAAAAGATGTTTGCTTTTACAAATTCTGCAACTAGAGTTGACTGGCAAGCCATATTAGAAAGCATGCTCAATAACTGCTTCGTTATAAGGATTTGTGTCACAGTGTTTTTGAATTGGCCTATGAGAATTCTACAATCTTTGTAGCTATATGCAGTAACCTGGTTATGGCATAATACCGATACAGAAAATCAAAGTACAACAAAATGGTAAATAAGTTTACGACATAGTTCTATATATTTCCATAGCATTTTTATCTTCACCAAATCCACATGGATTTTTAGCACAAATACATTTCTTCTGTACACAACCTTATGCCTGTCAGTGTAACATACTGTACATGTAAAATTGCTACAAACACACAAACATTATAAAATCCATGCTATACACACATCATAAAAAGAAAATCTTTTTATAAAGTACAATTAAAAAAAATTCCCATTAAAAAATGTAACTTTGGTTTTCTTTCTTGGTTTTTTTTAAGTAACTGTAGTTTCATGTCTAGCGTCCATAGCACCTATTTCTGGTACCACTGTATTTGAATTCAATTCTTTACCATCGCTTAGCTGAGCCTGTGTCAGAAATGTATTATCTGGTTCTGGGGCGGCTTCTATCGCTTTACTGCAATACAAACAGTCAATAACACATTAAACATGGTATGGAATATTAAAGTCATATAAAATATAATACTGATTCTGACTGGTAATCAATGATTAACATAATACAGTTTTAAACATACAAATCTAATTTCACATAGAATAAATCAACCAGATTACACAGATAAAAAGAATACATACTTTGCAGGAACACAAAATAGAACTTTGTGCCAAAGTTGCAATATGTATGAGAGTAATGAATTACATAGTGAATGGTCCACAAGACTAAGATTGCATAGCAAAATTAATGTCATGTACGAGTAAATATTGAGTTTGGAAACTACTTACACAGTCTCTGTATGAGTGACACCGGGCTGCATTTTTATGGGAGCCAGATTATCTGGTGCATTCACTCTGACCTTGGCACCGTTCATTTTAGCAAACAGTAATCGTATAACCTTTTCTTTCTGTTCCCAGGTCAGCTCACTGATGTCAACCTGACCAGCAATTCCAGCCCTGTCAATACAAATATAAATGGAGGAAGTTATGAACAAATCTTTTTACAACATTAAAATTTGATTTTGGTATTAAGAATTTTACAAATGCTCAGTGGTACTGAATGCATTGATGGCAGGACATAAATAAAAACAAACTTACCAGCTTTCAGCAGCTTGTAAATCGCTATAGACATTATTTGTGCTGTTTTCAGATTTATTGAATGTTCTTATTTTAGGGAAAGAACCTTTACCAGCATGGGCATCGAGCATCTTCTTGTTATACATGGCTGCTGCATCTTGTCTGTACTGAGCTCGATTGGCTACTATTTCTAGCTTGACTTGCTCCAATGCTTCCAGGAAATATCTTTCTACTTGTGTTCTCTGTTGAAAAGTAATAGTGTATTGTATTACTTATTATTATACATCTGTCACTGTAATGCCATAAGTTACAGCGTATCGTAATTTTGCTGTATTTTACAGGGTGTTTTCATCATACCATATAAGGAATGATTACATGTGTAAGCGCCCTTTAATTAATAATCAAAACAAACATGGCTGGCACCATTGTTTGACCTGATTCCACACAAAGAAGTTGGCTGATTCTGTTCTAAACTTTTTGGATTTCGGCATTTTCATGATGTATCCTTGGAAGGAAAAGATGTATGTTAATAAGGTTACTACGAGAATACCTCAAAGTATTCACTCATTCATTAAGCTCATTTCAATCCAAAATTATATTTTTGAATTATAAAAAAAATATGAATCATACGTCAACAAAAATTCCAGCAGCAGCTTTATCAAAGAGTTAATTCAATGCCGCTGAACTGAACTTCTTTGTCTCTATTCTGATATTCCTTTTTAACACGTACAAAAGCAAAACAAAGTAAGTAAGTAAGGAAATGTACATTTTTCAGTCTTACTGAGCATTGTTTTCACCATCATTTGCCCATTTCTTTAAGGAGTTTTACCTGATCAAGAATATTCTTTGCTAATTTTTTGACTTTGTTCATTTCCTTGGTTTTCATATCCACCGTTCTCAACAATTTAGCAATTTCCACCCTACTAGCCTCCGTCTCGATATCAGTCTTCTTCAGTATAATTTCTCGCTCAGTTTCAAATTCTCTGACAACGTGACTAAGGGACTTCTCCAGGGTCCTAACTTTCTCTTGAAGCTGAGGATGGAATAAGTGAAATGAACAATGTTATTTTTAGTTGCAACAGACAAGCTAAGCAAATATTGAATCTTTCATGTGGTCTTTGTATATCTGTCAAATTAAAGGGAGAATGTTGGGATATTTATTGTGATTAAAACACATAATTGCATGATTAACTAATATCATAAACATCAGAAAAAACAAACATATCATTTATTTGTATTTACAAACAAATAAAATAATAAAAATGTGAGCCAGCAAAAAAACAGAATAAATTCTGTTTTAAGTCTGTTATGAAAAGATATTGAAAATTGTAATACTCCTTTCATTAAAAAAAACAACTTCTTGGCTATATTTTTTTTCTGGTCATTCAAACCACAGTAAATTAGCTAATTTAATGTACTTTGTGAGTGTGCATGGCCTGCGGTAAATCACAAATTACAATTAGTTTTCATTGGTATGAACTGTTATGATGAATAACCAAAGCACATACATACCAGGTAATAGAAAATACAATCTTATTGATGAAAAAAAAATGCACTCTGTGACAATACATCTGTGACAATACAGGTATATAACATATTTCATGGTATCAATGTGCCCCAGCATTTCCTGAATGTTCAAATTTCAGCACTTTCAACACAGTTCCCCACAATTTTTAAATATTCATACCATGACATAAGTTACTATGTTCATATTCCAAAAATACCAATAATCAGCAATACAGAAGAATTTTTTTTTGCTTGTATATGCCTCTAATACAGATGTGCTTCCAATAGAAGAAACACTGTAATTATTTTTTATCTCAGTTGTAGACTTTTTATGAATGACTCTCAACTTACCTCTTTGATTTGGTGTTTTTGTCTCTTGCATTCAATAATTTTCCCCTCTACTAGTTGAGTATTCAGATCTTTATCCCCTCTCAGGCCACCACTTTCTTCTTCCAGCGCTTCCTTGGCCTTTTTCAGTTCATTTGCTTCTTTCACATGATAATTTAATGCTTCACTGAGTCGCACATTTTCCTTGTAAACTGATCGTGTAGTCTCATCCAGGTTACTATTAAAATGGATACACAGATAAGACGTTACTCATGGCAAATGAGAACATGTGACAACACCCTCTATGGTAACTTTAACCACTTCTTTTGTACATACGTTTGTATTCAACTAAGTCTCTTTGACTTGAAATATTGACACTGTTGCATCTGGGAGAGTAGACTGTCTACTATAAATGCTTTATTAAATCATTGAAACCTCACAAATTGGTAAATAATGATTTTTCACTCACATAATAAAACATTAACTATGTTTTCGTCACTACTGCTTCTAGCATAACCCATGGTTAATTAATTCATTTATTAGACCATCTCATGCAATATACTTACGCAATGGCTTCAGTATGAGCTCTTTCTGCTAACTCAGCAATTTTCTGACTAGCTTCTTGCTGTAATCTGATTTTCTCTTCAAAGAATTTATGTTCCATCCTTTGAAGTGTGGCTTTATGCTCTTTGCTGGTGATGAACATTTCTTCTTTGATCTAACAAGAGAATACAGGTATTTTAAGTACTGGTATATCAAACTTACATTTACATCATGCACTTCTACTTGGTAAAGCAATTTCCATCTCTGTGTATTTTAAAGTCCAACAAAATGTAAATGTTGTAATGTCACCACCACTAGCAATCATGCAATGATCCCAACACACACACAGTACAACAGTCAGCAACTGATGATGATGTTGCAGTTTTTGTGTACAAAACAATATGGTCACTAAATAGAAGAGAATTAAACTTGGATCAACAACAAATGTGTGCAATCTGATACTTCTGTTGCAGTTACATTGAAACAAAAAAAATTCAAAGTTCACTGCCACTGTGAAATAAATTATATTTCCTAATGATAAGAACCAATGTTACCTCATCTAATTCTTTCTGCATTTGTCCCCTTTTTCTTCTGAATTCTTTGACTAGTTTCAACTCACTCTGCATCATCTTCACTTCATTAGTTTTCTCATTCAAGGAATCCTCCAACTGGTTTATTCGCTGACTGAATTCGTCAATCTATAAAATACAGTAAACAATTATGAGGAACGTGTTAAAGAAGTAGCCACACAGACAAAATTCATGAACAATACAACATTTTTATCTATTATTTTGTGTTTTGATACCACTGTTGGTCATGTGATCCATTACTTGGTCTTGTCTCAATTTAGTAGTTGCCAAAGTTTTTTTTTTCAATTGCAGATTAGTAACCACCAAAGTTGTTTTCATATTCAGATTAGTTATCATCACAGTTTTTTTCATACACATATTAGTAATAACAAAGTTTTGGTTATATAGATATATATATTTTTGTTGAGGTATAAGTCGTATAAGTTGAATCCATAAGCGCAGCTGTTACATTTAAAACAATACAGCTAATCATGCAATTAAATATATATTTACCGTATTACCCCGTGCACGCGCCCAGGGGCCTGAACATACAAAATCGGGAAAAATTGGGGGTGGGCGCTTACCCGAGGACCACCCCAAAAAAGATTTTAAAAAGTTGTTTTTGTGATCGTATGATAAAATCAAATAAAGGAATGCTTTCGTACACTTTGTACACAAACTTATTTCTTGATTTATGAGAGGTTTCAATAAATGTGAGCACTCAGTCAAGAACTGTGGGAACACTAAGACACGGGGTCGAATTTCAAGAATAAAACTTGTTTTATGTCAGCGAATGAAGTTGTATTACTCAATGAAATTGGCTACAAAGTATGGTAAGTATTGTAATCAATGCACGGTTACTTTTTTAGTACCGGTAACCGTGATCAGTGCAAGTCAAAACGGTCGGGAAAAACTACCGCTTGTAATCCAAGATGACGATGACCTCATTAGCATAATTTCGTTCAAGCAAGTATCGATACATTGCATCGTAATTACTGAAGAATAGCAGACAGGGTTATGAAACAAATAAAACTTTTATTACTGACGTGAAATGTTTACAAACTATTGTGAATACATAAACATATCCAAATGGCGATACATAAAAAACAGACTGAAAATACACTCTGGTCGACCTCATTAACATGATTTATTCATGCACCCACACACGTGACAAAATTACAAAAATAACAATGATGCAACAAGTTCCCATCGTCGGCATGCCTCATTATGGTTATCGTAATGGAGGTCGAAAAAATGTTTTTTCTTCAACAACAGAAAAATAATCCACATGCTGGATGGAAAGAAAGTAGCAAGTTTACGACGTGATGTCTGAAAAGTGCTAGCTCCCGTTATGGATTCACAGTCAGCGAAATGCTACGTTTTGAAACCAAAGCTAAGTGCTTCAAACCACTCAACAAGGTATGGATTGTTGCAATATTGCAATATTGGATTCATCGTGAATGAAGAGAAAGCAGAACGTGTGCGCCACATGCTGCGTGGTTCATCTTGCGTCGTTAAGTTCCAATGAGTTTTTACGTAAAAACACAAACAAAGCGGCCCTTTTCAGGGCCACCACACACTCCAAAACGAGAACTACCGTAACAAACACACTATTTAAATAAATCGAACGCGTTCGTTTTTGACAAATAAAACTTTATTGTTGACCCCGTTCTTGGCTAAAAATCACCCTGGGCGTTTACATGTCCCCAACATGTAACTTTTGTGAAAACAGGGAGGGGCGCGTGCCCGGGGTAATACGGTATAACCATTCTATAGGACCATGGTTAATTTAATATATATTTGTGATAATAAACAGACAGGTAATTATGGTACTGGTAGTGGTACCCAGTTTCATGAGGGATAAAAGCCACAACACATTATCAATTTTACATTCACACAATACTTACAATTTGCTGTTTTTCTTTCCTAGTTTCCCTTTTTGTATCTTTCAACTGTTTTGACAATCTGGCAATCTGGTAATATCAAAAGAAGGATGTGATACATTAAAAACTAGTAAATGAATGAATGAAGTGTTATCCAAAGAAGTCAACGATTTGAGCCACTCTTCGACAACAATCATCAAGTGGTTGAACTATATGTAAAATGAGACTCAGTCTAGATAGTAAAAATAACAGGACCATACTTACCAAATCCTCTTTTGACTGGTCTTCTTTTTTGAGAAACGTAACCACATCAATGGTGTCCCTCTCAGATTGGTACATATGGTTTTGCAATGACTCATTCTCTAATGCCAGTCTCTTTGCATTTTCTCGGTATTCAAGCCTGGATTTTTCAGTAGCTTCTAATCTTGCTTCCCATAGTCTAGAGTTGGCCGTTGCTTGGGCAGAGTCAGTGAACTTCTTACTTGACTTCTTCTTGCTGTTAAAGAATACAAAGCATTAGATAGAATTTATGCAGTTTTATAAATGAGAGATGGTGTTCATCTAAAAAAAATATAGTAATTTATTAATATTTGTATATTTGGGTGCAAGACATACAACATATAAAGTGATCAAAAGTTTCAGGCAGTGGGTGCGAGTATTCATAGACATGCAGCACATATGTGAGTTTTCAAATTGACAAATACATTTACTGTAAATACCACATATATGACGAAGTCGCATTGATCAGAGTAAAATGTGTAACTTCAGTGATTAATCAACTATATGTACAGTAGAATAGCTTACCTAATTTCATTCTCTGGCAACTTTTTCGTATTCTTTTTGTTTAAAAACATTTGACAGGGCTAGACACTAAGAATAGTTCTATGGCCCAGGACAAGTAAAATTGCCATTCAGACAACTGAATTGTAACTCAATTTCCTGAACAAACTAATTACTTTAGTTACTATAAAGGCAAGATACATTTCAGACAAGTGAGTTTAAAAATGAGCATTAAGGACATTGTTGATGTTTAAATGGTCAACAGGGCTGAAGTTAAAATAAAAAAGAAATATATGGCTGACAAAGTGAGGAATATGCACATACATTGTGCATGTATCTGAAGTATTTGCAAATGAAACCATTACCATTGAACATAATTCACACAAAGCTAGGCAGTAAGGTGCACAGTAAGACACCCCCTCCATCACTGGTGTACAATGGACTAGCATTCAAGACCAGGAAATACAAGTCACCTAATGAAAGCAAGCCCAAATGCCAAGAATATGAATTTTATAAAATTAACTCATATACACCGTACAGGTACTTTCAATGCATGCATAGTGACGAACCATGCATAAACATACAATTCACTTTGATCATGTGGCAGCCATAGATGCCTATTTGGGTTTCAGGCCTTGCTTTCCATTGATGGAACTTATCGACGACAAATCATATGCATCAAATCGTTTACAGGGGACTCTACAGCGTGGCTTGAAATGCAAATTAGTTAGCAATAGCCTTGGCATGATAAGAGCAAATTGAAAGTGTATCAATATGTGACAGGCAAGTGTAAAAAGGAAGTATTGAATGGATCACAGCAAAACAGCATGCATACACTTTGATATACTTATACATGAAACAATTGTTATAGTTAACTTACAAGACTATGTCATCAACAGCCAGGAAAGTCTGACTGCCTGATTGATGAGCTATGAGTGGTACCTTGCTGCTATCACTCCTACTTAGACAGTCACAGTGATTGTGTATAGCAATGTATAAATAAAATTGAACAAGTACTTAGGTGTTTTATTTTTTTAGAATGAAGATAATAAGATAATAAAAGTTTTGCAGAATACGAGACAGACAGATGAAACAAATAATTTGCATAGACAGAAACTGTACAGTGTGTATTACTTGCTTTTATCAACATTTGTACCATGCCTACTTGATACTACCATTACTGGTGAAACAAATTACCCCGGGGTAATGAATGAATTTCATAACTTTCTATGATCACGTTAAAAAAACAACCTGTGGTTACTAGTACTCTTAACAGAAAAACGTGTCTCAAAAAAACACTTTTACATCAGTTTTTTAATTATTTTTTTAGCTTGTAAAGATAGAAGCAGTTAATTTAGAACTATCATATATGCTATCGGAATAAGCTATTACCGTAAAATCTGTATTAGAAGCCGCATCCCTAATAGAAGTCGCATCCATTCTATTTGAATAATTGAGAACCAAAAATTCATCATTTCTCATATGTGTAGATGCTCTAATAGAAGCCGCATCCCCTTCTGTTGCATTGTACCATTTTAATAGAAGCTGCGGCTTCTAACACAGATTTTACAGTAAGCTATGACATCATATAAGACTACAAAATCTATTGATTTGAGTTGTTACAGGAGCATTGAATGAATCAAGCTCCTCTGTGTGCCCAATCAAATCATTCAATGTGACTGAGGTCAAATTACAGCTTTCCTTAAATACAATCACACATGGGTTCCGTTCGAGAGGACAGCCATGAAATTGCCAATGTGTTAATTTTATGGTGGTTGAGTTTCACAACTTTTTTGTAGACAAGTTTTTAATAATGAATATGAATAGTATTAATTTATTTGGATTTCAGCCTTCAAATGACTGTGATTCTATTCTCATCAGGAGCGAGTACGCCAAATTTCAGTTAATTTTGAATGTTACTAGACCGGTCTATAGTTCTACAGCCAGAAAATGAAAATTGCCCACATCCTACCGGTATATTGAAATGTATTATAATAGTTGCTGGTCTGTGGCCACAGACTTATAGTCCGTTTTCTGTTGATTATTTATACTTATTTTGTAAAAACTGAAAACTTTTAATTAAAAGTTAACAGGTTTATAGAAATTTTGCCTGTCAAATGAAATTTCGTACTTGTCAAAAATGTCAGAAAGACAGCTGGCCGGCTAAAAACAGTAGAAATAGTACATAGAAAAACTGTACAATGCATAATAATATTAATTTATTGTGTAATCATAATCTTAATGGATATTGACACAAAATAAGAAAGATACAATAAAAAAAAAACATAACTGAAAAAGTAGCATAACTGAAAGTATTACGGTAAAACAGAAAAAGGGCAGCTGATTTTCTCTAGAACTGAAACATTATGGTCTAATTTTTTTTTATCATTGTAACCATTTTATTAACATTATGTGTTGTTTTCGCACAACTTGCATTCAAGTAAGAAGTGTATTCCATCTTCAACCTCATTATTGTCACAAGCTGAGCACTTCTTATCTCTGCTGAGTATTTTTTTTCATAACAACCTTTTTCTATTTCTAAATTATGTTACTGTTGAATAATTTTCATAATGGCAATTCTTTTTTAGCAGTCTATATATAAATAGCTTATTATTTTGGTTTGTATTTTTATTATCTATTTTGATAAATTTGTTATCATCATGTATTTGTTCTTGACAGTTGTTTTCAAATATTTTTTGAGTTTGTTGTAAATTACTTTGATTAGATTAGATTGGTACTGCAATTTGGATCATTTGTTTTCCAAAGCCGTATCCATTTCTGAATAGTGCAAAGTGCTTTTGATACAGTCTATGTCAAATATATATGCCTTTATTTTCAACCAATATTTTAACATTTGTTTTATACTACTATACTATACTATACTATGTAAAATAGGGTGTAACTTGGCCTTAAAGTTTACATGCAATATGTATTTGCAGAATTTGTTATTGAATTTATCTATCCGTAAACAACTATTAACATTTCTTTAAATTGTAGTATAGACCTCTAACGTATATGATTGTAGTACACAGTAACTAGTCCATAATCTGCTGCAATAAGATAGGTTTCAAAGTTTTCATTGGAATATTGTTTTCAGAGTACATAGTTATTGTTTTGAGAGAGCTTTTAGTTTCTTCACCATCCCTCTGCGGTTTAATGCTCTATAGCAAAATTCTTGAGCTCTGCTAAGTCTACCAGTTATATTTAACTTCATGATGAAACATTTTAAGTTGTTGTCCATTAATTAAAAAAATCATGTTTTGTAATAGATTTACCGTAGAAACATTTCATAGTATTTTGAAGGCCACCTTTTTGGCTTTGAGAGTAATACTAGATCATCTTCATTTAGTAAGCATGAATAGGACTAGTTAAAGGACTTGTGGTTTATTCTGTAATATATCAATATGGCTTTTGATGTCTTACCACACTGTTTTATGCATAACTGCACTGTTTCTACATATTGTATACCGTACTAGAAAATTAGCAATAACAAGAACATTTCAAGTTCTGACAGAAACAAGCAGCATATCACTTTTAAATCGTTATAAAGTCATACGTACCCTTTCTTTCCTTTTCCTTTGCCCTTTCCCTTCCCCTTTTTTGCCTTCTTTGGCATCTTGAAATACAAATTGCGACGATACTACAAATTCAGTCGTTTAAACACCTCAATCCAAAACACGGTTCGCCATCACACAATATCCAAAATGGCGCTTGTAGGTTGTCATGGAGGTGACGTCATTCATCATAAACATACATACTCAGTACAACTTGACATCGTCAGAAAACAAATATTTTAGCAACGTATTCGTGTTTTTAACTACGTGATTTAAACTCTTATTAGCAGTTGTAAACTCTTTATTTAATTTATTGGGACGATACTGTACACAATATTATGTCTACTTCTTGTAAAATTTCCTCAACAAAACTCGAGGGGCGCTGTTATAAGCGGCTGACACCTTCGTAACCTTTGGTACGACGTCACACCAATACTGTGTCATGATTGGCCACATAAATTCGTGAACTATTTCCGCTGGTTAATGAGTTTGGAGCTCTGTCATCTTGGCTTGTGGGGAACCTGTATAATGTGACTCATTATTTGACAAAAGTGTGTATGTAAGCACTTTTCTGTATTCATTTGAATACACTTTGTGTTGTTGGTCGGCTCTTCGATGTGATTATGGCGAGCTTTACTGAATCGGAGAGTCAACAGTCTACTTTGGAATACTCCGCCGTTGTGATCGACACCGATGATGAGGAAGCTAAACACGCGTCCATTGATCACCACGATGGGAAAGAAAATACAATACTTCCAAATTCTGGTAGTGGTGCTATCTTACCTCCGCCGGGAGAACTTAACTATGATGACACGAACAGAACGTGTTCTTTTACAAGTGGGAACCCTTTTTTCGATTTTGTAAATACTACATCGGACAGTGGCGAAACTTATAGATACTCCTCATTGTCACCCAGTGGTGGCCGAGGTTATTGTTATAACAAAAACACATTGGATGCCTGGGACGATGATAGCTTATCCATCCCATCCCCGTCTTTACCGGATATTGGGGTCAATGCTTCTAAAGTGATATTAGGCGGTGAGTTTGGAAATGAGGAAGACAAAACAAGTTCAGCCACTATGCCCTACCAGTTTCCTCTTGGCATTGATGCAGGAGGTGATGGAGATACCGAGGGGGTTACCCAGGGAACACGCACACAAAATGATGATTCATTTGATACTGATTTACAGCAGTTAGCAATAATATTTGAGGAGGTTGATGTGAATTTTTTGCGAGATAGACTTGTCAGTCTTAGAAACCATGCTAATCGAGTTACAATAATAACTAATGAATTGTTAGAGGAACAAGATGACCAGCACTCTATGCATCCAGATGTCAATGCTGGTGGTGAGGGAAATAATGTTACATTATCTGGGGATAGCTTTGACAGTGTTTTTGCTGATGTTGACAAGGTACTTGAAACTTTAAAGTTAGAATATAACTTGGCTCAGCTTCCTGATGCCAACGTGGTCTTTGCAGTTTTAGAAGAGCATAAAGATCCGACCACCAGACGCAAAGCAACTATTGATTTTTTTGTGAAAGCTACTTCTAATGAGCCAATGATTGTTGAAACTGTGGAAACTACTCAGCAATTACCAGTTGGTGAAGCAGATCATGATCCATTAATTGACGACTCTGACTGGGACGATCGTCTGGCAATCTTCACACATCATCCATTTTATTCAGACTTGAAAGTAGTTGCTAAGGTATTTCCACATCGAGACCCGAATGAAATAATGGCGTATCTCGAGGCTCATCATGATAAAGATCATCGGAGACAGATTGTTACTGAAGAACTACTTGTTTTGGAAGGCGTTGGTGATAGTCAAGGTAGTGTGGAAGGTGTTAATAAACGACAGCGATCAGTTGTTGTTGATGATGACGATGATGATGACGTGGAATTTATTGGTGTTATTAGCAAAAAGGTAAAACAAAGTAATGATAATAAAAATGATGAAATAATCATTCAGGATGAAAACGTGACAAATACTGAAACTATTCCTGATGAAACAACTGCACAGCCTGTTACAGTATTGGAGCAGGATTTTTTGACTATCAAAGGCCTTATCCCGGATGCTGATCCAAACTACATTTATAACATGTTGGAAAACATGAAAGAAAACCCTAACCGAGTGCCTGATTTGGCAAACACCATGCTTGAAAAAAGAGACTACCCAAAATTGAATGATGTTATCAAAGAACAGCAGAGGATTGCAAAGAAGAAGCAAATAATGGGAGACGATTTTAACTTGGTGGAATTCATCAAATTATTTGAAAACCCAACAGAATATTTTTATAACGAGGACAAGCTGATGAGTGATAATTATTCCAAACATGTGAAAGCAAAACTGATGAACGAGTTTCCTGTGTTTACTGCAGAATTTATTCTTCTAGTGATGAAAAAACACAATAATCACTTGACGCCAACACTGAGGGAGCTTGAGCAGGATCAGCAACAAGAGTTTGCGAAGGTGTGCAATTATCAGTCAAAAGGCCGAAAATACAAAGGTCAGTTTGGAATAAAATATTTGGTGATGACTTTAATATTAATTTTTTTTTGTTCATTTTTAAATGATTCATATTATTATTACCACTTTTATAAAAAAATATAGTAAATTAACCACTATTGAATGTAGCATTATTCAAATATACCGGTAATGGTGACCTTTTCACTAGCAGAATTTCTCACCCAAATGTTTCTGTACTTTTTTTTGTATTCAATATTTGTGGAAATAAACCCTAATATTGAAGCCAATGGACAAAATTTGAGTAAATTTTTAGTTTTTACTCAAAAAATTCGGCTATTTTTGTCCCAATCTTCTGCAGGAAACATGACTATAAAACAGGACTATTTTATGAATTAGTGATAAAAAGAGAGAAAAGACTATGGTGTCCCTAATTGACATGTATTATCTGACTATCAGGTTTTCAGAATCGAAAAAAGTATCGACTGAAGCCGAGGACTGTACAAGAACCATGGCCAGAGGAACTGGATGAGATATTTTTCAAGGAGTTGAAGTTTGTTCAACATGAGAGGGAAATACAGAGTGAGTCCAACTTTTCAATTTCTTGCTAATTTATGTTGCTATAAATGCAACATTTCGTTTGGATTAAATGTATACGATTTATACTTGTTTTAATCGTTTAACGATCTGCAGGCTCATTATAGCAATTGTTGACCCTATTGTAAAACTTTTTCTTATAACAATAACTTGAACATTTTAAATTACTATTGATGAACATAAATATTGTACATACGTGGTGCATGATCACTGTCACTTCAACTACGAAAAATATTATCCATGTTGAAACATTTTTGTTTGAAACTACTACCAACTACAGATAATGCTGGCGTCAATAACCTTTGAGTTTGAAAGCTAATTTTTGTATAAACAGAAACATTGTTGCACTATTGTAAACTTCGCGTAGTGTTTATCGGAGAAACGACTAGAACATTATTATTTTAAACTTACCCGTAATCACCATTTTTGATTAGGCCGCGTAGTCGCTTTGTTGTGCTCAAGTGTTGCTAGTAGCATGATGCCCTAATACAATATATGGTTGGTAGTACATGTACATATGCAAGAACATCTTGGATGTCCACCTTGAATCCATTCTCATAATCATGCCTGTTGATAAAAGCAGTTTTATTAGCTCTGCTGTCGACTTTGTAGAGCGAAGCTTATTCAGAGTGCTGTTTCAATTCATTGCCACAATATTCTTTTATTGTTGTGACAGCTTGAGACTAAAACCAGTGCATCATTGACATTCCCTCCACATTTTTCTTTTTTTGGTAGATATTATTGATGAAAGAAACGTTCAGCGAAATGAGCGAATCGAAGCAGCACGTGCCAGTAATTCACTTCTTGAATGTGGCTGTTGTTACGAGGACGAACTCTTGTCCGAAGACATGGTGTCCTGTCCAAATGCTCATCTCTTCTGTAGAAACTGTGTCAAAAGGTCATCTCAGGAAATTATAGGTCAAGGTCGTATAGACTTCCCTTGTCTTTCACCAGAATGTGATAGTATGTTCACAGTGACTGTGCTACAGAAAGTCTTACTCCCCTCAGTTATGTCTAATCTCCTCAAGAGGATTCAGGAAGAAGAGATCAAGAAAGCAGATATACCTAATCTGGAGACGTGCCCGTTTTGTACGTTTGCTACCATAATGGATAATCCAGATGATAAAGTATTCAAATGTCAAAATACAGAATGCTTGAAGGAGTCTTGTAGGTATGCTATGTTAGACTAGGGCAAGTCAATGATTCACCAATGTTAACTTTGTGTGTGCAGGTGATTTGGAATATGTAATTAATTCTTTGAGTAGTAAAATCAACCTGGTTACATTTCTAGAAATAAGTCTGCCCGTTCTTTTATGCATTTTTCAACAATTTTGATTAGGACATGTAGCCTACAAAGAATTATTTTGATTTTGTTTAAAATCAATAAAAAAAAATTATAGAAAAACATAAAAAACAATGTAAACTGTTATACCAAATTGTTGGAAGAAGAAAAATATGGAATTCAAAGGGTTAATAGAAAAATATGGAATTCAAAGGGTTAATAGAAAAATATGGAATTCAAAGGGTTAATAGAAAAATATGGAATTCAAAGGGTTAATAGAAAAATATGGAATTCAAAGGGTTAATAGAAAAATATGGAATTCAAAGGGTTAATAGAAAAATATGGAATTCAAAGGGTTAATAGAAAAATATGGAATTCAAAGGGTTAATAGAAAAATATGGAATTCAAAGGGTTAATAGAAAAATATGGAAATCAAAGGGTTAATAGAAAAATATGGAATTCAAAGGGTTAATAGAAAAATATGGAATTCAAAGGGTTAATAGAAAAATATGGAATTCAAAGGGTTAATAGAAAAATATGGAATTCAAAGGGTTAATAGAAAAATATGGAATTCAAAGGGTTAATAGAAAAATATGGAATTCAAAGGGTTAATAGAAAAATATGGAATTCAAAGGGTTAATAGAAAAATATGGAATTCAAAGGGTTAATAGAAAAATTAATAATTTTTCCCAGAAAAGCTCTATCTGTCTTATATATCTCCCATGGTGCATTTTACAATAGAAGGCTTACCTCTTAGAAAGAGACAAGTGAGTGTATAATGAGTGAAATGTACCATAAAACACAATCCTTACAAAACTGTGCTTTGGGACTACATGTATCATGATCATGTTTTAGGGTGTTATCATTACAATAGTGATACATTGAGATTTTAAAATTTCTTCATTGTGATCAACATTGGTCTTGCGTTTACTTCCCCTTTGTGTATTCACCTCGTTGCAGGTCATTCAACGTAAAGTTCACACTATTCGCAATGTCCATGAAACAATTGGGGGGACCAAACTTGACATTTTCATTTTTTTGTGGCATCATTGCTAAGAAAACATGTTATTTTTGCATTATTCCATCTTGGATTCCATCTGTTTAAAAATAATTAAATTGGATTTTTGCAGCATACGAGTCAACAAAATGTATAAAGTAAAACTAATATTGCAAAATTTACAGTATTCGCTCTACTAAATGCCTAAATTACTCTAATTCTGATAGCAGACAATATCAATGGTTGAAACTTAGACCTATATATTGACTTTGCTACACACATTTTTTCTGCTGAATTTTTATACATAGCACAATATTTATTTTTAGAAATAGCAAAGTGAAATTCTTATATTTCTTTCATGAAATAATAACGATTTGAAATGAACCAACCACTTGCTCTTACGCTATTGTGTAGGCTTCAAATGTTGCATTTTATAGAAGTCCGAAAACGGGGACTTATATTTCGGTCTCCATCCGTGCGTCCGTCGGGAGTCATATCTCAGAATCCCTTGGACCGATTCCGTTCATTCTTTGCATGTACCTAGTACTTTATGTGGGACATATGCACATGCAGTGGTTTAGTGATTCGATTCAAAATGGCCGACTGGCAGCCATCTTGTTTTTTGAAAATGTTGTATTTTGGACATGCTTTGTCAGTTGTTATTCAAACTTGGTACATAGATTATACATGTTAGGATACATGTCCATGATGATTTATTTTCGCAATTGAATCAAAGATGGTCGACTGGCAGGCATCTTGTTTTTTGTTTGTTTTTATCCGGTATCTTGGTTGTGCTCTGTCAGTTTTCATTCAAATTTGGCACATACATGTACTTTATACATGTTAGGATGCATGTGCATGACAATTTGTTTCAACATCTGGTCAAGGATGGCCGATTGACAGCCATCTGACTTTTTGGCCTTACTACTATATTTCCACAATTTATGTACCATTTTCATTCGTATTTGGCACATACATCATACATATCAGTGTGTTTCATAATCAGATCAAAGATGGCCGAATAACGACTGTTTTTATTTTTGGCCATATTACTACTACATGGAACACGTGTTTTGATGTAAATAAACAATCTGTTGTATACGCCACTTGGAACTCAAGTTTCAAGAACACGCTCGTGACAGCCCCTCTCAGCTTTAATATGACAAGCACAAAGAGAACTTTCAAAAAATTAACGGGGACTGTGTCATTTTCAATGACTTGTTTTTCTTAAAAATGGATTTCTTCAACAAGCCAACAGCCTAACTAGTTATAGATCCAGCTCTTCTTGTGTCGGTCTTTAGTCTTTGTGATGGTATTTCTGATACATTTGAACCGCTACAGTTCTTCCCATAGACTTGCCTAACACAAACGTGCAGCACCAAATGGCATTGCAAATAAAAGTTCGGCATTTTATCATATCACGCAACCAAAACTATCACCTATTGATAGTATGTTTACTAAACACTTACCAGCGTGAAAATGTGACAAAAATGATCTATTTGTTTTTCCAGGATTTCTCTCACAGTGTGGCTTTGGAGATTGTTTATTGATTGACGACAGTTTCGATGGTGTGATGCGAGAAAATATTCTGTTTTGTTGACTTTTATTTGCGATACCATTTGGCAACGCACAATTGTGTTATGCAAGACTATGGGAGAAACCATAGCTCTTAAAAACAACAAATTTAAGGTCACCAAATGTATCAGAAATGAATACCATCCCAAGTACTAAAGACTGACCAAGAAAAGCTATGGTACCACTGCTACAAACTGCCGGGGCTACCATTTTGCCACAATCAATCCCTTTAGAGAACACATTCATTTTGATTATAGTCACATACATTCTCTACAAACACATTTCCCTAACACAAGATCATCTGTTTTGTTATTGCATACTTAAAGTGCCTGTGAAATGGCTGCTATTTTCACCCCTAAAATTATCAATTGGTACATAAATAATGTTAATTTTTATGTTTCTAAGCATGAATTATTTTTTTTTAAGTGAAAAAATGTGTTTTAAACTCAGTCTATGGCAACTTTATTTTTGTGTATTTTAAAACGAGGCTCCTCATTAGCTTCTCATTTGCATACATAAATTCCCCTTGTGACGTCAGAAGGGGAAGTCGCATGGCAGCTTGCATTGCCGATACGTGTAAATAAGGCAAATTTCTTGTGCAGTTTTCTCGTCTTTGACTATATTGTCACTTATGTACTTGTTCGTCG